AAAATGACTTTACTCTTTGTTTTCTATTGTAAGCCAAAAAATTTAACCATTGTCCATCATTTCCCAATCACGTGACCAATAGTCGTGTACAACGCTGAGGATAATGTTAAGATTTGACCCTATAAGTTTCGGTGAACGGATCCCCATAAATGGGATTCTTCCGAAGAAATTATTTAAAGTCCATTGTTAGTTCTTTCTAAAACTGTTTTGCTATTTTTAATGTCCACACTTGATTGGTAGGTAAGCTGACGTCGAGTAATTTTATGGTTCCCGGGTTTTTGAAAATGATGAACTATAAACTAAAAGAAGATTTAAAATATATAATTATCAAGGAGCATGGTAATATATTCTTTTCCTCATTTTCTTATGGGTGATTAACCATAATGCATAAATGCATCTGTACAGTTGTCATATTTTTATGATTTACAATAATACGTAAATGCATCTCATTTTACAGTTGTTATATTTTCAGTATCCAGGAGTAAATATCATTGGTCGACTGCCTGGTCTCTACACCGGAACACGTGACGATAAAATGGTTCTGATTGGTTCCCACTATGACACGGTCCGGACCTCTCCCGGTGTGGATGACAACGGTTCCGGAATGACCGCTTTACTACAAGTTCTAAAGCTCATTACCAGTCCGGGTAATAACATCATTTTTGATTCTTTTTACTTTTTTGCGTGTGACGTAGGATATAAAACGAGTAGTAGAAAGCAGATTGTCTTTCCAAGATTGCGGACATATAAAGTAGTCTGCGTCGAGACGAGTGGTCCATACTCCAGGAACTTATCCCGGTTTCCGTAGAAAGTATTTGTACTCCCCCTGGATGGGATGCTGGTCTATCACAGGGTTGATCCCCCCGGCATTAAATTCCCCAGTATTCATCTTATACATGTGGGTGGAAAGGGGCACCGTGAGAGAAAGTTTTTTTGCCACTATAAATGGTGGTGAACTATTTTACGACCTTTTACTGTTATTTATAAAATAACTGAGATATGATATACGCACGCTCTGCAGCTGATTGGTCAATAGAGTTGTTAAACCTATGTTCTATTGTACCGGTAAACCACGGTTCCCGATCTATGGCAGCTCTACATGGGAACTAGAGAACTCGGAACTCTCGCGATAACAAATCAGTGTAATAAACAGTTTTGGCTTTCACTGCCACAGATATCAATAATGCGAATATCTTTTCATTCGACACATACATGGAAATTTGCAAAGAAAAACAGGACCAGAAGTTGGTCGTCATATAAAGCTTTATCTTTTTTTTTTCACGGCAAAATGTTACGCCGACTCCAGTTACGCTTGAGATTGAAATTAAGGAAGTTTTAAACCCCTTTTTCGGTCCTTTCCACGGTCTGTGGAGGACGAAGTCAGCTGGGCTTGACTGATCAACTTGAGTTGTCGAAAAAGAAGGGAAAAGATTTCTTTCTATCAGAAATTTTGAGTTTAAACTCAATGCATACATGGCTGATGCATAACACGATAAATAAATTTGGTTTCCATAAGCTAAGCTTTAAAGTAATAGTTTTCATTTAGCAAAGTACAGAGAAACACGGACTTCATAGCGTTCAGCATACGTAAATAAATTCTGATTAAATTTCGGAAGCAGCGTTGCTGTAACTAACCTTTATTCCATTCGCAAAACTTTGGCAAGTTATCGTTAAACACCGCTTTGAATCACTTCGTCAAGCACACGAAGTTTGTACTGCTTGCACACTTTTCGTACAGCTTTTTACTTTCGTGATGACCGATTCCACCTACGAATCCCTGCATTTCCCCGTCGAAATAATTTTGAGTCAATTAATATACCTTTTGCCTTTCACCGATAACCTTTTCCTTTCCTTTCTTAAAACTTTCTTAGCGTGAAATGTTTTCGTCGCTTTGCTCTGCGGATTACATGTCCGGCGCGGAGTTTGTGCTTTCATTCTTTCAGTCGCTGTGATTAGTTTGTCGCGTCATCTCATGAATTTGATGAGAATACACAACTTGATCGCGAAAGTACACTAAATGTTCCTCTTATTGACAGACTTTTTCCATAGTTATTCCATAAAAGTGATAGACCACTCTTTCTATGGGGGTTCACCGGCGTAATAAACCACTTGGAATGTTGGGAGAACACTCGAAAAGCTTGTAAATCACTCGCCTAACGGCTCGTGATTAACAAGCTTTTCTCTTGTTCTCCCAACATCCCGCGTGGTTTATTGCGCCAGTAAACCGACAGATAGAGTGGTCTATCGCTTAAATAAACAATAGCCTCCATTTTTGGCGCGAAAATATGCTCGGATATTTGTCCTTGGACATTATCTGTTCTGAGAAGAGAACAGTTTTCCGAGAGCGTAGCTCGAGAAAAACAGTGAGCTTCGAGGAACAGATAATGTCCAAGGACAAATATCCCAGCATATTTTCAAAGTCAAATGGAGGCTATTGTATTTATTATCCTTCGAATATTTTTCGCAACACGCGCAGTTTTGAAAATTGCGGAATATATGACAATAGCCATCAAGCAGTGTAATATTGCATTGCGCGGGCAAAATTGAATCGGTACATGCCTTAGCTTTCTGTATTTTCAACAAGTGTTACATACTCTAGGTTCATTGCTAGCAGAAGAATCCAACACTGCCTCTTAGACTTTGATAGATTAGGCTACCATAATTTTTGGCATAATTCGTCAACACGAACATACTTTTCATCAATTTTCCGAAAAAAGCAGTGCTAGCATAATTTGCACTTTTGGCCAGTTTTGTAGCACAAAATTGTCATTTATTGATCATGCAACCAATTGTTGTGGTCCGAGATCAGTGTTGCAGGCAAATTTAAGTAAGAAAATCACTTTTTTTGTCTGACAGTTACGCGGTTTCAGTGGTTTTGCTTTCCACATTCATCTCTCACTGCAAATCATTTGCAAGACAGTGATAGACGGGGAATTTATAATGAATTATGCACTAATAATTTTCTAGTTGTAAATAGGGTAAATGTGTTTTCCATTTTCTTGTATGTTGCCTAGTTATTGAAGTGTTCTTACCAAATTTAAAGTAAAAGGTAAAAGTATAATTTCTGCATTTTTTGCTAAACTGAGAATAATTTACAAAAACTAGCACAATCATTAGCATAATTTTAGAAATATACGACCACTGCTAGCAGCATGTTATGCTACTTTTGCGAGCTCAATCTATTTAAGCCTGCTGCCTCTTCGCCCTAAGAAATCACATCCACAATTTTTTACTCTAATCCCCCCATTCAGACCCCGTTCAGGTCGATCCACCTCAAAAGAAACACACTAAAGGCTTAGCAGCCAAGCCTTCGTGTTCGCCCGGATTGCACGTCCTGCAACAGCGGCCATGAGTTCTAATCGCGGTATGGTAAGGGCTTGGAGTGGTGGAACACGTGATTTTGATGCCACAAGGCAGCAAGTTACAGTTCCATCCTTGTAAATGTGTCTAACGTAACAGGCTGCACCATATGCTTCTTGGGATGAGTCCACAAAAGTGTGCATGATCATCTCCTCAGCAGTAGTGGGACTTTTCAAACTTCGCGGAACTTTAAGGCTCGACAGTGCTGACAGTTCATCGAACTATTGTGTGGCCTTCTTTGACAGGTTTTCACCGACTGGCTGATCCCAGTCCACACCACTCGCCCAAATTTCTTGAAGCAGGACCTTAGCTCGGATGGTGTACGGCGTTAAGAGGCCAAGAGGGTCAAACAATGTTGCTATCGTCTTTAAGAAGTTTCGTTTCGTTTGGTCACGTTCCTCAGCACGCCGGTTGACTTAAAATTAAACACATCTTCCACGGGGCACCAAAGAACTCCCAAGGTTTTGACTGGAAGCAGTTCACCACGATCAAGATCAACTTCGGTGGCACAATCTGAAGATGGAATGTTCCGCAATACTTCCGGTTCATTTGACAACCACTTCCTGACATACATTCCACCAGAACCCCAGAGCTCTGACAACTGGTTGTATAGTTTAACTGCGGTTCTCACATTAGGCACTGAATCCATGCTGTCATCCAAGACAAGAAAAACCTCGTGCTCACTAAACAAACTGCGCATGCGCGCTCTACGATTACATCAGAATACTTGGGAAAAGCGATTACATAATATAATCTTCGGAACATTTGTGAAGGAAAGTGGTATAATTGCCCGGGGGGAGGGGGTACTTTGGGAATTACTGGGTGGGGATGTGCCGCTGGGACCCTGGAGCCCTTAGCCTATACCAGAGTTAGTTCAACTGAATTTTGCAACCCTATACTAGAGTAAACTCTCCAAATCCCTCAATCTATCGACACTGTTGAGGCTCATTTGCATACATTTAAACTTGCCGTTTTGATTTTTNCAAAGCCTACAATAGCTAAGCCGGAAGATAAAACGGAGCAACTAATTCTAAATAAACTTATCATTTTGCTTTTCAGACAAACAAAGCTGTTCACGTGACCATACTCTACTGTTTGTGGCCTTTGACCTGCAAGAGACCCAACCTAGATACTCTGGGAACTGCTTGTGCTCAGGTGCATTATGTGGCAGCGGTTATTTTGTCCAAAACTTGACTGAGATTCTCAGCAAAACTGGCGCAGGTTTCCAAGGAGCGATCATTTTAGAAACGGTGCTCAATTATAACGACACTCCCTATTCTCAAAGGCTCCCCGCGGGTTTCAAGGTCGGGTTTCCAAAACAGCACCAACAACTGTCACAAAATCAATTCAGAGGAGACTTCTTAGTTGTGACTGGTCGAGCACAGGATGATGCACAGCTCGTCAGCGGGATTACCAATGCTTTCAAAAAGAACGGTTAGTTCACGTTTGTGACCGGACGGGACTGAAGAGGAGCAGGGGAAGAGGGGATGGAGATCCTGCACTGATAAGTTTGTTTTGGGCCTTCTTGGAATTTTGTTCCGCCTTTTTATTCTTCTGTAGTGGATCCAGAGCTTCTCAAGACGGGATGAGAAAGGGAAGGGGTGTGGGGTGGGGGTGGTTGCGGCGGAGAAGTGAAAGTGTGCCCTGTATTCTTGCTCAATGAGAATGGGGGAATGGGCGGATTGTTACTTCTGACGAACTTTATCTAGAGATTATACGGCGGTGTGGATTGAATTTCAAATTCTTATGGCTTGTTCTTAACAGAAACCTTCAAGTCGCTCACTTTCACGCTAAAATATGGAGGGAGACCAAATGCCCGGAACCAAGGCTACAAGGAAGCTGTTTACCATTTCTGTCGCACAGATCATTTTCGTTTCTGGAATGCCGAGCCCTCGTTACCAGCTGTCTTTCTTACCGATACCGCGGGTTTCCGGGGATATATGCAACAGTGTCACCATAAGCATTGTGACGACATCAGTCATGTGACCTCAGCGATGATGACGTTTTTGAGGCAAACAGCTGACAGCTTGGTGGAAGTGGCCACAGACATGACAAATGAGAAATGTGATATGAAGAAAACCGGTAAAGTTATATGACCTTTTTCTTCAAGCCGGAAGCCATAGTTAAGATATTCTGGTATATTAAGGCGTTCCGTGAAAACATGTTGATAACAATATAGGTCGAAATTTATAAAATATCTGTTGACGTACCATATAATACTAAGCAGGTGTCGCGACAAAAGAACGCGAGAAATTTAAATTTCATTATTAAAGAAAGTAAAAAAATTATTTCGATAACTTTAAAACATATTTAGTGTCCTAGGTCAATACTGGGATGGAAAAAAGTATTATTATAAGAATTGTAGACTAATACAGCTTAATATAATTACTCAGGTGATTCTAGAAATTCTCGCGCTCTAATTGGTCGAGAGTAGCGTCATATTCCGCTATAATCACCTCCGACTAATTTTCAAAATGGCCGCCTCGCGCTTTGTCGATGTCTCTCAAGAAGAAATAAATGTAATGAAAGAAAATGTTATTCCTCGGTTAATAAGATGTTTTTTGTATTGCAAAGAAGACAACTTTAATTCGTTTAATGTAACTGGTTTGCTTACAAACGGAGACGAGCTTAACTTAAACCTGCCGAAATTTGTTCGTCCTCTTTACTTCTTTTTTTGTCATCAGGCTTTTTGGCACTTCCATAAATGATTGAGAAGAAAATAAAAGAAAACGGTGAACAGTTTTGTATTTTAGTTTGCTACAATTTCAACGCAAAATGAAATCGGTCTAGACGCCGGTCTAGATGGGAAAATCTAGACCGCGGTCAATATTGATCTCAGCCAATCAAATTCATGAATTCCGTAGTTCCCAGTCCTTGTGTGACACAGCCATACAATAAATATATCTTATTATATGTTTTGATGTATAGTATCGCTGTATATTTTTACGAGTTGTGTCGTATTTTGACAACGAGTAAAAATATAAAGCGATACTACATGAGGGATTTATTAACCAACTGCTGTAGTCAGTAAATTTATCAGTGAAAGAGGGAGAGTGTCACAGTTTTGCGTGCGCGCGCCGATCTGTCCGGCAAACAGGTTTTCTACTGTACAATAACTGTACAATATCGCTGTTTAGTGTAATTTCCAGAGGTGAATATAAGAATTTGACATTCTGATTGGTCGAAAAGCTCATCATATGATGCTATATTTACCCTGCTTGAGCTTGGTTACTAAGCTCACCACCTTTGCCATCTCGATAAGTAAACATGACGGACAGTTGCTGAACGAAGTTTTCATTTATTCGAAAGACATCACTCCAAGTCCAGGATATTTGAAAGGATGGAGGATTTTCAGAACGACTGCTGTTGCCCTTGGACCAAGAACTCGCATTCAAGGAACTCGTAAAGATCTCGTAAAGAACTCATAAAGAACTCGTAAACGCAGTGGTTGCGTCGATCACCAGCAGGTCAGATCGATTGACCGAAATCCTACATAAGGGATAGCTCAGCGTCACAGAAACGTGCTTGTTCGGACATTCTTAGTCGTCCATTACTTTCAAGAGACGCTTCTGAAGTCAATAGAGACTCTAAGAACGGTGCATACTTTTGTTAGTGTGTATACGTTCTGGGCATCACGCAAGGCATGGTTTAAGGTTACCGTATACCTTTAGGGGTGTCTCGCGTGCAAGCGATGTAGCGCGTGCAGTTTAAACGGTAGATACCTAGACCCTTAATCAAATTAAAGCTTATAGAGCTGGCTATCAAACCATACCAAGAATTTTGAAATAAAATAAATTGTCGAAATTTTAACGACCACTAAATGCGAGCGCCCGAATCACTTTTCGAAAGCTACAAGTCAAAGCGAATTTTGTTTTTCGCCAATTTAATTTTTTCCTCGGTTTCAGGGCCCAAAGCGCTAAAAAAGCGTGTCTGTGTTTTGCCATATTTCATTACAGTAAGAAGTTACGGAAAATTTTCGAAACAGGATTTAAAAAATGTGGAGTGATCATACAAAAATCGCTCTCGAAGAAAAAATATTTCGAAATTAGCAATTCGCAGACACGTTTATGTAGTTTATATGTTAAACTAGCTAATGTCCAAATTTGAGGGCAATTGAACAAATTCCCTCTGAGTTATAACTCTTCAATGTGTCTGCTTCAAGTAAAAAAATTCATTCGAGAAAACAGCGCTAAGAAAAATCTTCTGCTTCGCAAACAAACTCCGCCCACAAACGCTTTCAACTGGGTTCTCAGATAACTGAGCCAATCAGTGTTGGGAAAGTTTACTACCGTTAACCTCCTGCTGAACTTAAGGTTACAGTATACCTTCAGGGGTGTCTCGCGCGCAAGCGATGTAGCGCGTGCAGTTTAAGCTGTAGACACCTAAACCCCTATATCAAATTAAAGCTTATGGAGCTGGCTATCAAACTATACCAAGAATTTTGAAAGAAAATGAATTGTCGAATTTTTCA